AGGCTTCAAAACAGTTGTGTAAATTTACGAAGACTATCTTGCCATAAAACACAATGAGAAGCTAATCTTCTGCAGTAATTCAAAAGCATACATGTATGTAAAAACCCTATTGGGTTTTTATCGGGTGAATTATGGTAATGGTAACTTCTGGTTTGGCCCTCATTTTTTTTTCTTTCTTTTTCTAGGGTGAAGGCTGGGTGTATTACCAACCACTGTGGAAAACGGCGGCCCATAGCTCTTCCCCAGTGTCCAGTCCACAAAACCCATGACCTCTGACCTTTTAAGACCTGAGTCCAGGCATTGTACAGCCTCCTGCTGCAGTAAACCTCTGCTCTGGTGTTCCCTCTCTCACAGATGAAGACATACACTCTCCTTTGTATGATTCTGATATGATTATATGATTGATGTTCATATTTTGCATCCTTCGGTGGTAAGATTTTTGTAGAACTACACAGTGAATGATTTCTTCAATCCGCACAGAGATATTGTTTGTTAATGTTGCCTTAACGAGTGTCGTATGTAATGAGGGCCGAGTACAGTGTGCCGGTTCTTAACGTGGGATTGTGTTTGAGGTGAACTTCTTAATCTAACCATACTGTGGTGTACTGTTTTTGACCACAGTACGATCAAAGTCGTTATCATGATTTAGATGATATCAAATGAAATGCAGGATTAGGGGAGCTCGTTCAGGAAGGTGGAGTTGAAAAGGACAGGCGTTTCGTTGCGTTGATAACTGGCAAGATGTGAGTTGTTATTGCTTAGCCAGATGCAGCTGGAGTGTTGATGAGAAAGAAACCGTTGGCTTGGCTTTCGTATGATGCTGTCTTTTTCTCGTTCTCGTTCTCGCTCTGGTAAATAAAGCTTGCAGGCGCTATACACAAAATCTGGGTCGGATGGAAGTGTTCGGGTTCAGGCCTGCTCTTCTGTTTCTGCTTGATGTTCAGTGAACAATTATGTGGGCTTAAAGGGATAGTTCACCCCCCCAAAAAAATTCTGTGATCATTTACTCACCCTCATGTCATTTAAAATCTGTAGGACTTTCTTTCTTCTGTGGAACACAGATTTTTACAGTGAAAGTCAATGGGGTGGGTCCAAAGGTTATAATGACATAAGGGTGAATAAATGTAACCAAATTGTCATTTTAGGAGAACTATCCCTTTAATGCTTACGTTGAGCACTTTAACTGTTTAGACCTAGAAAAGAGCCAGCCTTATAATATTCTCTATATGCATAATAATGTGTAAATACAACCCGATTAGACAGTATTATTGGAGATACAGTAAGCTCTGTCAAAAGTTCTGACGGACACCAATCTGATCTGTCAAAGTAATGCAGTTTAATTTTATGATTTCGGACTGCTACGTTCCACTTCGATTCTACCTCGATTGATATTGATAATTGTTTTTTTAAAGGGATACTTACCCAAAAATAAAAAATCTGTCTCACCCTTATGTTTACTCACCCTTATGTTGTTCTTTGTAGTCCATATGACTTGTGCGCTACATTAAAAGTCATCTTGTCAGATTTCAGTCTTAAATGTCATTTAGATGCCTGTCAGACTAGATTTCAGTCTTGCTGAGGAAAAAAAAACTTCTAAAACCAGTTGGTCTTGGATGGTTTCTCAGCTTACACCAGCCTGGTTTTTAAGGGGGCTTCGGCACTTTTCAGCTGCTCAGATTGGAAGACCAGCGAAGGCCACCAAACTAGGTTCAACTGTTTTTTTTTTCTTTTTTCAGCAGGGCATTAAAACTAGCATATGGTTTCCGAAGACTTTGTTGTAAGTTTTATAGAGCACTTTTATGGAGTTCTGAGGTATAAGTCACTGTTCTTGCAAAAGAGCAGCTTGGACATTCTGCCTGACATCTCCTTTTGTATTTCACAGAAAATAAGAAAATAATATGGGCTTTGGAATGACATGAGGGTGAGTAAATGATGCCAGAATTTTCATTTTTGAGCAAACTCCTTTAGGCACAATCAAGATGTGTTGATGGCACCTATTCCTTGCTAAGGGTTCAGGTTTTTAGTTAGCTGGTCATGTTAGTAATAGTTTTTTTGGCAAAAGGTTTAACCACGTCAAATTTGAGGTTTCAAAGTTCTTCAAGGTTTTGTGTTTAAACGCTTCATTGTTCAATTTGCCAGTGGGGAACAGTTGGAGTGACGGTGCTGGCTGAAGTGTTGCGCATCTCATATAATCTCTGCTTCAGCCCTGGCATTGGTTGCGCTGAGAAACTTGTGGTGCCTTATTTGTGTTAGTCTTCCTCCCATTCCACCTCACAGCCGTCAGCTTTCTCATTAAAACAGAGCAAGACTGAAGCCACAGCCTTTGTACATATCTCCTTTCATTTTCCTGTCAGCAAAAATACAGAATTCCCACGAAGCGTTTGGTACATCAGCTGTGCTCTCCACTCAAATCATCAACTGCACTGATGTTTTAAATACACTCCCTGTAGCCTCAGAAAATATGATTGAAAAAATAAAATTAATATATTGGAGGATTTCAACTATTAGTGAACTTTCTGTCTGTGTGGTATCAAGAAATGTTGCAAATATTTCACTAACTGGTATATAAAAGAAGCTCCTTGGGTTCCATTTTGCTAATTCTTTTAGAATTATGCATGTGGCATTATGATCTAATATTAATTAAAATATGGAATGTTTTGTACTTGATTTGTCACATTGACAGACCATTTAAAATAACCTAGGAAATTCAAAACTAAGGAACCCATTCTCTGCCTTAGAGTAAAAAAACATAATAAAGGTAATTGCGACTTTATTTCTCACAATTGTGACTTTATTTGATTTAATTGTATTTCACATAGTGTGGCTTAATATCGCACATTTGCAACTTTACATTGTGACTATATATTTCACAGTGTCACTTTATCACAGTTGTGATTTTATACTTTACAATGCAACTTGATTTCTCAACTTCATATCTCAAAGTTGGACTCAGCCTTATTTTAAATGTTAACCTTTCTCACAATTACCAGTTTTATATTTTATTCTGAGGCAGAAGCGGGTTTCTATACAAAACAGTGATTAGAAATAATACCGTTTTCCTTATATACTACCATTCAAATGTTTGGGGTCAGTAAGGGTTTTTAGTAAGAAGTTACTTTATACTTTCATTCAGCAAGGAAACATTAAATTGATCAAAAGTGACCGGTACAGACTGTTCGTTTGTTACTTTTGCTATTTCAATTCATCAAAGAATCATGAACCCATTCTCTGCCTTAGAGTAAAAAAACATAATAAAGGTAATTGCGACTTTATTTCTCACAATTGTGACTTTATTTGATTTAATTGTATTTCACATAGTGTGGCTTAATATCGCACATTTGCAACTTTACATTGTGACTATATATTTCACAGTGTCACTTTATCACAGTTGTGATTTTATACTTTACAATGCAACTTGATTTCTCAACTTCATATCTCAAAGTTGGACTCAGCCTTATTTTAAATGTTAACCTTTCTCACAATTACCAGTTTTATATTTTATTCTGAGGCAGAAGCGGGTTTCTATACAAAACAGTGATTAGAAATAATACCGTTTTCCTTATATACTACCATTCAAATGTTTGGGGTCAGTAAGGGTTTTTAGTAAGAAGTTACTTTATACTTTCATTCAGCAAGGAAACATTAAAATGATCAAAAGTGACCGGTACAGACTGTTCGTTTGTTACTTTTGCTATTTCAATTCATCAAAGAATCATAAAAAAAGTATAAAAGTGTCCACAAAAAATATTAAGCAGCACAACTTTTCAACACTGACATTAATAAGAAATGTTTCTTAAGGACCCAAATCAGCATATTAGAATGATTTCTGAAGGGTCATGCAACACTGAAGACTGGAGTAATGTAATTTGTCATTTGAATTGTAATAATATTTCACAATACTGTATTTTTTTATCAAATAAATGCAGCCTTGTTGAACCTTGGAGAACCTGGATTTTTCAAGAATATGTAAAAATCTTTCCGACCTCAAACTTTTTGAACAGTAGTGTGAAATGTTGTTTAAAAAAAGTCCATGGACACATTATGCATATACATTTTATAAAGTGATTACTGTACGGCTGTGAAGCCAGTTCACACTAGGAATGGGCAAAATGACATCTTTGTTTGCCTCATCTCCAGTAATGGAAAAAGCATAACAGGTTGCCATATGTTCATGTTGACATTTGCACAGAAAGTATTCATCTCCATCAGTTCTTTTTCCAGTGTGCAATCTGGTATGAATTTTCCCTGTCCCTCAAAGTAGCTCTGTAGAATTTGGGTGAACCTCAGATGATTGCTTAATACAATTGGAGCGTAAATGCAGGCTCTTTAGAAACTAGACAAGTTAGTGTCATGCTTTTCTCTTTGCCTGAGACCCAAGCTCATTGATGTAACAAATCATTAGTATTACGAATCCTGTTTACCATTAGAAGTGAGTCTAAGGAATCTTTTAAAAGTTGCTTTTTTTCTTTTAATTAGGATAAGCTAATTGATTATAATCAATAAGTCTGGAATGAACAGACTCGTCCTCAACTTCTGAAGCAGGACATTGATAAGATAAAAAGCCTTCATGTAGTTGTCATTTCATTAAAGTATTCAGGTCAGTGGTTAAAACAGGGTCAGTGCAAAGCAACTCCCCAGGGCAAAAGGAATGTCGGGCTCAGATCACATTTTGAAGTTATTCTGAAATTATTTGAAAGGACTACAACCCCGTGTGAGCAATGAAATGAAACTGGTTCTTTTTTATGTCTAAAAACAGCAGTTATGTTGCTAGTGTATCGTCTGCGGTTCTGTGGTTAATCAAATTGAAGTCCCCCCAAAACTGAGTTTATGGGAAGATCACGTGGATTTCATGAGTGAGTGAGTCAGAAAGAGCAATGGAAAATTGTAAATCAGAAAATTATGTGTGGTAAACATTTTTGGGAAAACATGTTAGTAATAACTGCGCTATTTGCAGCTTTCTGCCACGTACCCCTAACTTCACCTGCGTTAGCTTTTTGTTGTTTTTTTCTTTATGGCACAAAGCAGCCTTTTCATCCTTCACTATATCCTTTAACGACATTATACAAGTAAACGAGGATATGTTAGAACAGAAACCCTCTTTTGTCCGTCAGTTTAGATTAGCATTTAAAGAAAAACGGAGACCAGCTCCACATAATGATTCGATATGGATTACAAGAAGAAGTCAGATTTTTCCAGGCAGTTCACATTTGACTTGGTTGCCTGGAGGAAGCGGAGATCTGCGTGTCAGATGTAACATGCGGATGCATGCCAGTGCTGTGGTCCGTGCAGGGAGAAAGGAAGGGAAGGGATGGGCTTTGGTCCTCTGTAGATGGCAATATGGGTGCGTGGGTGCAGATGGAGTTCTCCAGCTCTTCCTGTGCCAGAGTATTAAAGCGCTCCACCACACAGTGTGCCGTCAGACGAGCCTCCGGGTCATGATCCCAGCACTCTGTTATAGTCGCACACAAGAGCTGCATGCCCTAAAAGACCAGGCAGAAATGTCAGTAACGCATTCTAAGAAGCTTGTGAAAATAATTTCAGTATGCCAGTGTCAATATATATACATGTGCATATTTAAAATGTATATTTTATTAGGATATTATGTGTTATATATATTAAAATATTATAGTTATTATTAATTGTATAAATGTGTGCATTTATGATGCACACATTTATATAATAATTGTGTGCATCATAAATGATATATTATAATGATAATGATAATGATAATGATGTACATTTTAATTACATTTAAAACATGTAATAATTAGATTTTGTTATTATAACGGGTATACATCAAATTTATTGAGGAAATATATATTTTTAAAATGTAATATATTTAATATGTAATTTTATAAAATACATTATATTGGGTATATATTAAAATCTTATAATAACGAATATATATATATATATACAGTGGGGCAAAAAAGTATTTAGTCAGCCACTAATTACATTTAAAACATGTAATAATTAGATTTTGTTATTATAACGGGTATACATCAAATTTATTGAGGAAATATATATTTTTAAAATGTAATATATTTAATATGTAATTTTATAAAATACATTATATTGGGTATATATTAAAATCTTACAATAACGAATATATATATATATATATATATATGTGTGTGTGTGTGTAATGGTATACGTCAAATTTTTTTTTATTATTAAAAAAGTAGGTGTTTGTGTATACACATATATTAAACATTCAAGAAATTAAATAAACAGATTTATAAATGTGTTCTGTGAAGCATGGGGGTGGAAACATCATGCTTTGGGGCTGTTTTTCTGCAAAGGGACCAGGACGACTGATCTGTGTAAACGAAAGAATGAATGGGGCCATGTATCGTGAGATTTTGAGTGAAACCCTCCTTCCATCAGCAAGGGCATTGAAGATTAAACGTGGCTGGGTCTTTCAGCATGACAATGATCCCAAACACACCGCCTGGGCAACGAAGGAGTGGCTTCGTAAGAAGCATTTCAAGGTCCTGGAGTGGCCTAGCCAGTCTCCAGATCTCAACCTCATAGAAAATCTTTGGAGGGAGTTGAAAATCCGTGTTGCCCAGTGACAGCCCCAAAACATTACTGCTCTAGAGGAGATCTGGATGGAGGAATGGGCCAAAATACCAGCAACAGTGTGTGACAACCTTGTGAAGACTTACAGAAAACGTTTGACGTCTGTCATTGCCAACAAAGGGTATATAACAAAGTATTGAGATGAAATTTTGTTATTGACCAAATACTTATTTTCCACCATAATTTGCAAATAAATTCTTTAAAAATCCTACAATGTGATTTTCTGGATTTTTTTTTCTCATTTTGTCTCTCATAGTTGAGGTATACCTATGATGAAAATTACAGGCCTCTCTCATCTTTTTAAGTGGCAGAACTTGCACAATTGGTGGCTGACTAAATACTTTTTTCCCCCACTGTATATGTGTGTGTGTGTAATGGTATACGTCAAATTTTTCTTTGAAAATTAAAAAAGTAGGTGTTTGTGTATACACATATTAAACATTCAAGAAATTAAATAGATTTATAAATGTTAAAATATTAGTCTTTTTAAAAAATAAATAAAAAATACTTTAAAAAATAATATTTTCAAAAATTTAGTTTTTACATTTTTAAGTATATATATTTAAAAAGAAGCCTTCTATTTAAATGTATATTTAAATGCGCGTATTTAAAATCTAAAATTTCTGTTTGCACTGATAGCCTATTGGGCAAGTGCGTCAGCATATAATGACTCTCTCTCTCCCACCTCGCTTCCTGTCTACTCTCCACTGTTGTATCATAATAAAAAAAAATGTGATGTATAGCCTTATTTTTTATTTATATAACCCTTGTGTTTTGTGAATACGCACTGGATGTGTTGTCCAGCTCTCTGGAATATCTGGTCGTCCTCTGTCTCTTAACACCAGGTCTCTCATGCTATCTACACAAGGTTGCTCACACACCTTGGAGCCAAATGGGGGTTCGTAACTCTTTACCTCTGTTAAAAAGAACACAGATATGCTTAAATTCTTATAGTATGTTTTAACCTCCAGCGTCTTTCAAGCAAATATTCATCGAGAGCTTTACTTGCCTCCTATGACGTCACACCTGGAGACCATTTCCCATAGCACCAGGGCCATGGAGTAGATATCAATCTGTTTAAAGGACTCCAAGTCCTCTAGATTCACCCTGGACTCCAGAACTTCAGGGGACATGTAGCGTGCAGTCCCCACCTACAGGACACAGACCATGTGATTTAAATCAGACAGTTGCACCAAATTGAATTATCAATGGTTTCATGTGATTACATCTGTGAAATCAGTCTTGGAGCTTTTATGTTACACTTAAAAAGCTTAAAAAAAAGATCACTGAGCCCAGAGCAGTTCCGCCCACTCAGATGATACATTTAGAAATGATTCTGATGGGTTTTTTTTTTTTATGTGTGTGCAACGGATGCAACATTTGAAAACATTGGCTCTGTTCTGAAACCTAAAGAGCTGCCTATGCAGGCATCATATGTGCGTTCTTGGCGACTACACTGTTTTTCCAACATTCTTCATTTTGGCCAGTTTCCATGGCAAAAACTATTGAAATCTGGTTCCCAGGCACTATTTATGTCACATATAGTTGCTGCCTATGTACAGCATTTTTTTATTTTCTCAAAAATCCAAGATGGCAGGTAACAAAACAAAATATTTATTACAAATATATACTACTTTTTCAAATAAATTCAGAGTGCTCTATCATGAATCCTGAAAAAAGTATCACAGTTTCCACAAAAATATGAAGCAGCACAACTGCTTTCAACGTTGATAATAATAAACTACATTTTAAATATGTATATTTTCATTAAATTGTAATAATATTTCATAATATTACTGTTCTACTGTATTTGGGTCAAATAAATGCAGCCTCGGTGAGCAAAGAGACTTATTTCAAAAGCATTTAAAAATGTTACCAACAGCAAACTTTTAGTAGTGTACTTATTGTCATTTAGTACCTTAAAGTATTGATTAAAATACATTATTTTACCCAAAATACATTATTTTCATGATTTTGTGCTCTATATATGCATATCAGAGTATTGTGTCCTTGGCTTAGCAACAAAAACTATGGAATTTTACAAAAATCAGTGACCTGTGAGGTAAAATTTTGTTTAGGATGCTGCCTTAGAAGGCAACTACCTACAGGCAGCAGACACCAATGCAGCTCACTAGGTTTTGAAACAGAGCCAATATTGTGCCTACCTGTCCACTGTTGGCAAAATCATCTACGGTGAGCGAGAGGTCTAGTCGCAGAGCCAGTCCGAAATCACAGAGCGCACACTCGCTGTGGTTCTTCAGCACAATGTTGCTGCTCTTCAGATCTCTATGGGCGATGGGCACTTTTGGTGTGCCGCAGGGCGTCGTATCGCTATGCAGGTGCGCCAGGCCTCTCGCCACAGAGCCTGCCAGTAAACACATCTCAGTCCATGTGAGGATATGACCAGCCAGAAAGTCCTGAAGGTTTCCCATGTTATAATAAGCCATGATGAGCCAGTATTGCCTCTGTGGGGCGGCAGCCGTACCGGCCCTCTCCTCAGCAGTCAGGAATTGCACTATATTCTCATGTTTTAAGTTGGCGTCAGAGAATATGGCTCTTTCGTTACACCATGAGGAATACTCCACCGCCGGGAAGATCTTCACAGCCACCGTTTCGTACTGCCCACCCTCATTATGACTGAGCCGTGCCCGCCATACCTCTGCAAAGCGCCCCTTACCCACCAGCGCCTCCAGCTGGATGGGCAGCTGCTCTGTGTTGTGGTTTAGGTTATTGGCACAAGTCGAAGAGATTTCCGAATTGATGTCATCGCTGAGGGATGGCAGCATGCCGCGGAAATTGCTACCATTTACTTGGCCCTCGGCTGGATCTAGAGACTGGTAGTGGGTGCGCCGTGGCCCCCAGTCTTTGGGTTTCTTGCCAGGCTGACGTGTGCGGTACAGGTAAAAAGCCATGGTAGCAATGACAGCTACCAGGAGGGGTGGAACCAGGCTTATGACTACTACTGGAATGACGTCTTTAGACTTCAGCTTTGAGAATCCTGGGAAACAAAGGGGATTAAATATATTAGCACACGTGGGCTCTGTTCCAGACCTCTGAGAAGTACCTTGCTATAAAGGCAGCTGCCCTCTAAGGGAGCATGCTAACTCAAATGCTACTTCATCGGGGTGTAACGGTACACATATTTGTACCGAAAATTTTCGGTATGGGTCTTTTGGTTTTGGTTGGGGGTTGTTGGGTTTGAGGGGGGTTAAAGTAGCCCCCAAAGTAGCGCAATGACCATATTCCAAATATCAAAACTCAAAATATGTCATTTTTATACCTAAAATACTTTATAGACACCGTTATGCAGATTGATCATAAATACAGCTAAAAGGCTTCCTACCAGTGGCCATCCTTCACAAAACGTAACATCTACCACAGCTTTATCATAGGTAGAATGCAAAATGTTTCAATACAAGCATTTCAGTCAAATGTAATTTATGCAACATTTCCAACCTTTAACCCACGGGAGAAAATCAACTCAATTCCATGCAAAAAATGCGTATTTGGCAACCTTGCATCCAACACGAGCTGCATCCAAAGTGATTTAAATATTCCGCATATTGATACTCCCTGATGCACGAAAATTATATGCAATATTAGAATGTTTGTGGGAGCAGGCAGTAATGGTCAGAAATTTAGCGGGACGGGGATTAAGAAAACAATCCCGCGCAGGGCTTTAATACAAAAACGCACACAATGAATGGCGACTGTAGAAAGCAAAAGCCAAATCCCAGACATTTTTGGAAATTTTTAGAAATCCCGGCTGGACGCATTTTTTCAGGTCCAAAAAGAGGACATGTCCGGGGAATAGAGGACGTATGGTCACCCTAAGTGACAGATCACAAACTCTTCCATTCAAACGGCAGTGTGGAGCTCGAGTGAGCGTGATCTCTTTACTACTAGTTTGAATGTGAAATAAACATGAACGAACATCTCATGCCTCAAGTAATCACTCAATCAGTGTTTCAACCGCAGAAAGGCTCACTATAGTTTAGAGTATATATGAAGAGTTTATTTGCAAATTTAGATAACTAAAAATTGTCAAAAATCTAGTTTTTATTATGTTATCATGTTTTTATTGTGCTAGTTAGCTGTATTTTTTAGTTATTGTTTAACCTTTAATCAAAACAACCCAACTGCAATATGACTGAGATTAATTTGAATGCACAATGAAAAAACATGATTTTTTAAAACTTGTTAAAAAGTAACATAGTAAAATAGTTATCTGTTTTTGCAAATGAACTCTTCATATATAAGCTGAGGTAGATTTTTATCCCTAGGAACATTTTAATTATAATTGAATTTATTTAAAGTTTTTTTTTCCCCCTACTATACTGAAACCATACCAAACCAAACTCAAAACTGAGTTACATACTGAACCGTCATGTGTGTGTACCGTTACACCCCTACATTCATAAGGTTATAATTATATAAATGTTTTGTTTATTTTTTATGCTTATTATTCATCTTATTTTGATTGATACTTCCCTGTACTAAAGGATTTTTGGCCAAATGAAAGTATTTTACAAGGCAGCATAATCATAATGCACCTTTGATACCTTAAAATACTGCCTACATACACTAGGAAGCTCACTAGGTTTTGGAACAGAGCCATGGTTTTGTATTGCAAAGCAAAATGTTTTGGCAGAAAAACAGAAATTTTTAGCAGTGTTGAAGTAATCATTTGAACACACCATTGGCTCCTTTTTCGAAGACGAGTCTGTCGTTGCACTCGAGATCTCCGACACAGCCGCAGATGAAGAGCAGGCCATCTTCAGAGTGCTGAGGTGTCATCAAACACTCTTTGGAGGAGTAGTTTGTCAGCATTATGTTCTCCAGCATATCCTGAGGGTTATAACACAGTGTCCGCACACTCACACTCACATTGTCCTTCTTCCTGCGAGAAAAAAATGACAGAAAAAAACCCATCAGCTGTTAAAAAAGTGACCCGATTCTTCAGAAAGATAAACACAGGCTCAAGAAAAACGTATTTTTATGTTCCCCTGATGAAATCTAGAATAAAATCCAACCAGGGAATCCCTGCTCAGAGGTGCACTTTGTTCTTTATGCCAGAGTCTAAACTTTCCTGAGGGTTATAAATGTGTTTGCTGTTTATCCAGCATTAGGTGAGTCTTTGTTTGACCCCTCTCAGAGAAGAGACTCTCTTTTTACTCACAGCTTGCCTCTACTGCAGTCACTCAAAGTTCACCTCGATTGGCTTCCCCGAGAAGCTGTTCATAGACTGAGCAGGATGGAACTGGCTTACAAGGAAATCTCTCAAAAAGCGACCCATATTACACCACAGATCCCAAGTGCTGTAAGGCAGCTAAGTTCTTATTCAGTGCGACAGTATTGAAATGTACTGGCATTTTAGTGGCAAACTTTGGAGAACATATTTCATCCAGATAATGGTACTCACATGTGGATTCTTCCATTAATGAACACCATACTGAAATATTCTTGACAGTTTCCTGTACTATATATTCATTTGCTTAGTGCAAAACAGTGATGTCTGATAACAGAACAAATGATTCTTATTTGATTCTTTTTATTGGAATCATAATTAATGACTCTAATGAGCTGGTTCTTTTTAGTGAATCAAATAAATACAGACTGAGATTCTTTCTAATGAATCGGCCCTTATGAAAAGTAACCATGGTTTTACTACAAATAAAACCAAAAAACCATGGTTACAGCAGTTAAACCATGATAACCACAAATTAACAATGGTTGAGCTACACTAACTATAGTTTAATCATGGTATTTTTTAGTAAAACTGTAGTTATACAAATGGTAGTCGATACACCAAAAAAACAAAACAAAACAAAAACACAGTTTCTAAATTTTTACTATGATCAAACCATGGTTAATTTTCGTAAGGGAAAAACTCTAGCACAACCAGTGAAGTCTGACTGCTGAACAAAATAAATTACTCTAATAGACCAGTTCTTTTTAGTGAATCAAACACATGCAGCTTACAATGAATTAACTACTAACTAACTTACAACTAATTAAATCAGTGCAGTTAGTGTTCATATGATGACATATAGTTAAAATATGCACATTATACTGTATGTTTGTCAGTGCAGTACTATATATAAATGAATACTGTACATAAATGACTTATGTTGTTACCACATCTTTTGTTTATTGTTTTTTAATACTGTATATAGTAGTTATATAGGCATTTATGCTGTCTCTAAAAATACTTAATTAAGTTATCAGAAGTTCTGAGATTTTAAGCCATTTGGAACAGGGAATACTTGTGTATTCAAACAGACAACAGGGTTTATACTATCAAAAGCAATTTTTAATGCACATCACATATGCATAGTTCAAATTTAGCCATGGACTTACCATATCGCTACACACACTTCTTCAGCCAGAGTACAGTAAGAGGTCAGACTGCAGTTGCTCATGCAGACGTTGTCTTCACATACAGGACTCGAGTGGTCACACCACTTACAGAGGTTAGTCTTTATGAGGGTGAAACTCTGCGCCTGCAACACTGCAATAAGGACAGCAAATGAGACTTCATAGTTTACACAGTATAAAAATACTAGGCGGCATTTAGTCAATTTTAATTACAGCTGTAATTGAAGACTGTAGGTAGCTGATAAATGTTGATATATAACATTGTAAATATGTACAGAATATGTTTAAGTGTGTGTGTGTGTGTTTTACATTCAGTTGATGACTTTTAAAAATTATCTTTTGATATGCATAATGTTTTTAATAATATAAATATTATTCATTGTAGTTTCTCATTGAATAAACTTTATATAATAATTAATAAAGTTAATGAAAAATACATAGCAAATGAAACAAAGATGCATAACCATAAATAATAATAATAATAATAATAATAATAAATTAGACCTGAACTCCTAAACTCAACAGAAATATGTAAAAATCAAAGTGCCTATGATAGCCTTGGGAAATATATTGCCTAAAAGCACAAAAAACTAAGGAGTGCAGTAAAAGCAGTCAAAATGTTCTGATGATGAAACTGATTGCAATGCAAAGTCATAAGAAGGAAAGCTGTAATGACAGCTGCAATCAAGACAGTATTTAAGAGCAAATCTTTGAGCTATGTGACCCATCTGGAGTTCATAAATCTCTAATTGGATTTGGATGAATGTAGTATATGGCCTGGTGTGTGTATTTGTGTGCTGGGGTGTATTTGGTTTGGTGCACACATCACTGAAAGCATGTGTATTCATGAGAGTGTCAGGAGTTCCTGTGGTTAAGTGGGATAAGCCTGAATTCCTTCCCACGCACACTGTCTCCTCTGTCCTGATACTACCACATCATGACAATATTAATTGTTTATTAAAAGCAGATGAGGGGTGGGAGCTGTTTCGCTGAAGGAGTGCAGCGACCTTACAGTAAACAATATAAAAGGAAAAAGCAGAGATATTTGACACAGACTTCCAGATGTCCGCTGATGCCAACCATCAAAATATACAAGAGAGAGAGAAAGGGAGGGAGAGCTCTTGCATGAAGGAGCAAGGGACATGCATGAAGGGAGAAAGAGACAACAGAGAAAAAGAGAAAAACCGATGGAAAAAAACCCCAAAAAAACTTCAGGCTAAGCACAAAAGCCCCCGTTCTATAAACTTTAAAGTAATTAAACTCTGCAGCAACCACTCCAGAAATAAATTGAAGCCAGAAGCACTCATACTGGCCAAGTTTGAAGAACAACTCCTCAGTGCTTATGGGAAAACCAATGGCTGCGTGCTTACAAGAGATGCTGGCCTGCAATTATTTGGTTTGCACTCAAGCAAGATTCCCCTCTTTTTCCCTATTTGTAATACATAAGTATGATGATGTATAATTTGGAATGTTTGCTGGTACCACCTTCAGGGTTGTTATTAAAACACTAAATAGTAATATATATATATATAAATAAATGGCAAAGAAAATATTTTGTCTCATTTGTCTACTTTCAGGACTTGTGCGAAATTTTGAGTCATATTTATGCAGAAATATAGAAAATTCTAAAGGGTTCACAAACTTTCAAGCAGCACTGTATACTGTATACTGGGTTTTTGTTAAATGCGAGCCAAAATCATCACAATTAAAAGAACCAAAGACTTAAACTACTTCAGTCTGTGTGCATTGAATTTATTTAATACACGAGTTTCACAATTTGAGTTGAATTACTGAAATAAATGAACTTTTCCACGACATTCTAATTTATTGATATGCACCTGTATATATATGTATATATATATATATAACAACTTATATATATATCATAGGTCTATACAAAAAAAATAAAAATATAATAATAATAATAAATATAAAAATATTTGCTCATGGCAAATAATAAAAATCAACCATTTATTATCATTGAAAACAAGATGCTTCTCCTCCACGGGTACCATGCAACCCCATGCCCACTAAGAACAACTTATTGGACTCAAGGCAAACAAAGGAGAAAAGGAGTTTCTGTGTCCACTGAGAGGTCACTGGAGTTGGGTTAGGCCCTGTCAGCATCGCACCCTCTGTTTAAGTCAATACAATATTGCCATTGTGGGCAATCATGACGACAAAGCAGAGATGCATCAAGGGATCTTAGATGGATGTCTTTGTATTTTTATGTAGCCTACAGTGTCTCTGTGTGGTCACATTCGTACACACTGACACTAGTGGCCTCTCTATATATCCCAGCTTTTTCTTAGAGGCGTTTCAGACAACCGATGGGAAATGATAAGCGAGACTGTGAGGTGATGGTTCTCTTCTCTCTACCCACATGGTAATATTTCATAATTGTTGTTGTAAGTGGAGCTACTCTCTATACACCCAAACCGTTTAAGGAGGCCCCTGCTGTGCAAAGATCATTTGGATTCTTAAGATTTGGTTTCCTTGTTGGAACTTTCCTAGCATCATGTTGTTTTCATGTGGTCACAGTGCGTGGCATCTTTTATCCCCATTGAGACTCTGTTTTTAATCAAGACTAGTTTTTGGTGTACAATTTCACAAAATAGTCACACATGCAGATCTATTTTAGTAAACTTTTCCATCTTACTTTTAAGTACTGTTCTGAAAATACAAAGGTTTTCACTGATGTCAAACTGCTGTTTATACTGTACTGTGACTCTTATGGACATTTTTTTAACAACACAGGAAAAATGAAGAAGAACATATTGCTATGTATTTTGGACTTCTCGTTCCAGGTATTACATTCCAACTTTTTAAAATATGGTCATAATTTGATATTTCATTTCAGTAGGGATCATAACAAGGACTAATAGTGTATTGATATTAAATATAAATATGGTAACCATTTAGTATAGGGACCAATTCTCACAGTTGCTTATTAGCATGCCTGTTATTAACAAATTGGCTTTTTATTAGTATTTTTAAAGCACATATTCAGCATGACCATACCCAATACCTAAACTTAACAACTAACTTACTAATTATTAATGAGCAGCAAATTGGGAGTTTTGTGAGGCAAAAGTCATAGTCAATGGTTTGTTATTAGTGACCATTAATATTTATTCCAGAATGCTACATAAAAATAAAAGTTCCAAAAGGTTTTTTTTCTAAATTATGCCATTGAAGAACCATTCTGGGTTCCCCAAAGAACCTTTCAGTGAACGGTTCTTAAAATATTAATTTTTTTATTAGTGTGTTAAAATTCTAAAGAATGTTTATTTTTTCACTGAAAGAACCCTTTTTAGAATGGAAAGTTTCCTTGGATTTCAAATGTTCTTTCCTGGAACCAGATGGCAGTAAATAGACTTTATTTTTAAGACTGTAGAATATAAAATTATTTTCCTGCTTAAAAATAATAAAAATTTATTATTTTATTTATTATGTTACCAATGCATCATTGAAACCTTATAAAAACAAATGTGCATAAAACCACTAGCCTATTTGTGGACGATGCTTCAACTCATACTATTCAATCAAACTGTAAAACGGTATTTATTCAAGTAAACCAAACACACTTGAACCTGACTATAAGGTGATTTACTGCATTTGCAGTATCTCAGAAAACCAAAAGAACTGTTTTTCATGCGATGCCATGGAAGTCATTTTGATTGTCAACATAAGCATCTTATTTTAACCAAGAGGTTGAACCCAGTTCATGGTAATCCATATCTGTTTAGAGTGGAGGAAAATCGGATTCTGTCGTGTTTAAATATATTAGATATTCTCTTCTCAGTGCCAAAAAAGTTTTGCCATAAAACCACTAGCCTATTTGTGGACGATGCTTCAACTCATACTATTCAATCAAACTGTAAAACGGTATTTATTCAAGTAAACCAAACACACTTGAACCTGACTATAAGGTGATTTACTGCATTTGCAGTATCTCAGAGAACCAAAAGAACTGTTTTTCATGCGATGCCATGGAAGTCATTTTGATTGTCAACATAAGCATCTTATTTTAACCAAGAGGTTGAACCCAGTTCATGGTAATCCATATCTGTTTAGAGTGGAGGAAAATCGGATTCTGTCGTGTTTAAATATATTAGATATACACAAACTCCAAGACAAAGCTCTGATGCGTGGAGCCTCCAGACAATGAAAGCATCGAGGGAAGAGAAGATCTACTTACGACAGAAACTCAGAAGAACAGATGTTGGAACCCACAATCTGCAGCCTCCGCGGCCCATAATAGCTCACAATCCAAAGATCCCAAACTGTTGAAGCGACGCTGTTATTTTCTTTATCTGCTCGTGTCAGACACAGATAAGCTCATCTGTAAGAAAGTTCAGGACTGTATATGTGTGTGTGTGTGTGATGAGTTCCGTGTAGGCGGATCCAGATGTTTTTAATCCAGATGTGAGAGAGAGCGGATCCGCCCAGGAACTCGCATTTATCAATGCACGATTCACAATGTATACAGAAGGAACAATGAACTACAGTCCAGCTTGTAGTGAAAAGTACAAATCTTTCTTTCTTTTCTTTCTCTCTTATAATAATAATAATAATAGAAACAGGCCTAATTTAAACAAAGGAAAAAAATATGAAAAATTGATAGATTCAGCACTTTTGCAGTGACGCTACAACTCCTCTAAATTCAAATATAGTTTCAGTGTGATATTGAGACTTTTAAACACAGTTAGGAAATGCTTGAACTGTTTGCTCAGGTAAAGTTGGGATATAATCAGCAGAAATCATTCTAATAAAAGTAGCCTAGACCTAATTTATAATCTGCTGCACGTCCATTCATAAGCCAAACCTATGATTGTTTTATTCAGACTTTAAATTGATCTCAATCATTTCAATCAATCTCAAGCTAGAATGAATTTGAATAAACATTTATGCCATTTTATGTTTCACTGTAGGCTATCACGCACGCGAGCGTGCACACAGACTCCCAGTGAAACCGTGAAAGTGGGCAACGCGCAAGCGCGAGACTGCTAAACCATGGCGGATTCAGGAAGCGAGTATATAGCGGTGATTGGAAACACAGATCTGACTCCTTCAGAGTCGGAAAACAACTTAAAGAACACGGTAAAGTCCATAACTGAATGTTTTTGTGCGGCGTGGCCGATAATGTCGCGAGCGCGAGATCAGTGTTTTGCTTTGGCTCATGAATGGCCACATGTCAATATTGCTAAATATCAGCAGGTTTTGCGAAGACATTACATAAACTACATACATGTTGTTGTTTTTATTACAGTGTTTATGAGTTAAAAGAGTGAGGAATAAAAAAATGCTCATATAATGCTATATAAGTAGAAAGTTGCTTTACATCATCCTGGCAATGAAGAGCCTTTGCCACGTAACGTTAGTTTGTAAACACCCAGTATCTCATACACTGTCAGTTCGCATCCTTGTGTCAAATGCTAGTCTGTAGATTTTCGATATATCAACAAATGGATCTTGTTTACTGCTCCATACTTTGTTGCATTTCTTTATGTGCTGATGGTTAAGAGACATGGGACAAAATAAATATGTCCAATATCTGCTATTAGCTAGTTCTTTAAAGGGGTGGTTCACTGTTGTTTTTCTAGGCTTGATTGTGTTTATGGGGTGCAGTCTAACATGTGTTAATGCTTCGGTTTAAAAAAAATCTTTATTTTTCACATAATTTACCTTTATTCCACACTGCTCTGTCCCTTCTCTGAGAAAAGGGCTGATCTTTTCCTGTTTTTATGAAGCCCCGCCCTCAGAAATAGGTGATGGGCTCTGATTGGTTAGCTAGCCCAGTGTGTTGTGATTGGCTAAACCACCTCTAATGCACGTCCAAGTTTAACGCTTCTCATAGCTATTTGAAAATAAGTGTATAATTGGAACAGTTCATTGTTGGAGCTGAGCTGAATGAGAGAGAGAGAGAGAGATGCAGAGCAGGGGGACGCGAGGAACAGTATTAAGAACCGCTGCTTTAGAACATTGATTTTGAAACTTGTGAATCCATTAGAATCATTAGAAGACAGAATCGCGATTCATATATGAATAGATTTTTATGTGCACCCCTAGTTTTTTCTTCCTCTTCTCTAAAGCAGCGCATGGCCTCGCCCCCTTTGCTGCCTATTCCCGAGGGCGGGGTTTATCTGGGTTTGTGATGTCACGAACCCGGGAAGTAACACTTTGTAGTCTCTACTCTCTACCAGTCGTTTTTGTAGGCATTAAACCGCCAGAATTAAAAAAAACGATATCTCCATTTGCATTGAACTTTCAGCTTGGTAACTTTGCAGATATTGTTTATGCTCAAACAGCAACTTTATACACTAACTAATGTTAAAACAGTGAAATTGCAATCAACCACCCTTTAATATAGCGACATTTTCACTGAGAAAGGGATCAGAAATGATCACAACAACATTACTAACACAAATGTACAATTTAATTTGGTTTTCTTTTATCAGTATTATGACATTATTGCACACTAAACTTAAAACCACACCTGTCAAAATGCTGAAAATCAGAATCTTCTAGTCTCCATTTATTCATTAATTCATTGTCTAGATTTGAATAAATATTTGTTTGTCAAATTACGTATGTATCTGATGTTGTTTAGTACGGTGGCCGAGAGAGCTCAAGGCACTGCAACTTCGGAAAACACATGCAAATAGAAAAAGCACTAGCAAATTAAGAAAACATCTTCTTCAGATTGACAGCACATGTGCTGCAAATACTCGCAACACAATCAAATACAAAAACATGCTGCAAATGCTCACAACACAAATAAAGAAACGAGCTGCAAATACTCACAACACAACCAAATACAGAAACGCAAGTACAGACCACAACGGGAGGACCCCAACAATGCCAAAATTACCCCATCAAAACGAAAATTAACCATGTTTGTTTTTATTGATTACCATTTGTATAACCGCAGTTGTACAAAAACCATGGTTAAACTATGGTTAGTGTAGTAAATCCAATTTGTGGTTACCATGGTTTAACTATAGTAACCATTTTTTGTTTTTATTTATTTTTTACATAATAAATATATGAATTAATTAATTTTAATAGTAAAACCAGGTTAATTTTTGTAAGGGAAGTTGTAAAGTAAGTTAGCCAGCTTATATGCTTTCATAGTTACAGTAATTCTGTATTTCGTCAGCTTGCAGATTGCGGTTCCCTTAAATATTTTCGATGTGGTCTGTGCCTATTTCAAGCGCGTTTCTTTATTTGGTTGTGAGTATTTGCAGCGCGTTTTTGTTTGTGTTGTGAGCATTTGCAGCGTGTTTCTGTTTTTGCAGCGCGTTTCTTTTTTTGTTTGTGTTGTGAGCATTTGCAGTACGTTTCTGTTTTTGCAGCGCGTTTCTTTTTTTGGTTGTGTTGTGAGTATTTGCAGCGCGTTTCTTTTTTTGGTTGTGTTGTGAGTATTTGCAGCGCGTTTCTTTTTTTGTTTGTGTTGTGAGTATTTGCAACGCGTTTCTTTATTTGGTTGTGTTGTGAGCATTTGCAGCGCGTTTCTGGTTTTGCAGCGCGTTTCTTTTTTTGTTTGTGTTGTGAGTATTTGCAGCGCGTTTCTTTTTTTGGTTGTGTTGTGAGTATTTGCAGCGCGTTTCTTTTTTTGGTTGTGTTGTGAGTATTTGCAGCGCGTTTCTTTTTTTGGTTGTGTTGTGAGTATTTGCAGCGCGTTTCTTTTTTTGGTTGTGTTGTGAGTATTTGCAGCGCGTTTCTTTTTTTGGTTGTGTTGTGAGTATTTGCAGCGCGTTTCTTTTTTTGGTTGTGTTGTGAGCATTTGCAGTGTTTTTCTTTTTTTGCAGCCCGTTTCTTTATTTGGTTGTGTTGTGAGCATTTGCAGCGCGTTTCTGGTTTTGCAGCGCGTTTCTTTTTTTGTTTGTGTTGTGAGTATTTGTAGTGTGTTTCTGTTTTTGCAGCGCGTTTCTTTATTTGGTTGTGTTGTGAGCATTTGCAGCGCGTTGAGCTCTCTCGGCCACCGTAGTTTAGTCATACTAAGCAATACTATTGGCATGGAAAACATTTAATATTGTGAGAAAATAGAAGCAGGAGATTTCACCCAAACTTTTGAATAGCCTTCGTTTTATAGCACCTGCCTCTGGCTAACAATAAAAAGTAGCCGGTCATGATTCAGGTCAGAGATGTAAATTAAAGACTCTTGGCTATCTATTGTCTATTATTTATTTTTTAGTCCAAACTTCCTGTTTCAGCAAGAGATATGCCAACACAGTAGAGAAAACTGTTCTCGTCAACACTTTTTCATAAGATCTTCAAGGCACATACATCATTATCTCCCAAAAAATGTGAGGGTGCTTGTACAAATATCTACAAGTGCATCCTCACCTTTTTTCATATCTAAATCCAAACCTCAATATTTAGAAGAGCCCTGAACCATTTTTTTTGTCTTTTGCATTTGAAAGGATCAAAAGGATACTGTAGTGTATTGAATATTGTGATTCTGTGGACCAAAATTTACAGATGGTTGAAAAAGGGACAAGTCTTTTGAAGAAGATGGAGATCAGTGTGGCTGAAGCAGAGAAGAGGACCGGGAAGAATGCCGTCAACATGCAGGAGACTTATACAGTGTATCTTATAGAGACGAGGTAAGACACTTGACTTCACATTCACAGTGCTACAGCTCATCATTAAAGGTGAAATGTGTAATTTCACCAGAATTACCAATGTAATGAATGTTTTCAAATAGTCCCATGATCCCATCCAGGCCCGGACTGGCCATCGGGAGCACCGGGAGAATTCCCGGTGGCCTGGCGGATGAGAGGAAGCAGCCAGAAGAAGCAGTGAAATGTAGCGACATCACTGACCTTGTTTTATTAGCGTAGTTGTGTATTAAACTGCTAGTATCTGTTAGGCTATCAGTAGCACACCATTATTATCATCATTCAGAATACTGTGCTAAAGGACATCAATATCGATTGTAAAGTTACATAAAGTTTAGCAGAGACAGATATTCACATGGATTTATTGTACAGGGAGGGAGCTAGAGCAGACAGCAACACAAAAATAATATGAGTAACAGGCTCGCAGCCTAATAATTCAATAGTGTATTAGACTTTTTCAACAAATATATTGTACTAATTTTGACATTTAGGCACTTTAGAAATTGTGTTCTAATACACTACCAGTCAAAAGGTTTTGAACAGTAAGATTTTTAATGTTTTTTAAAAGAAGTCTCTTCTGCTCACCAAGCCTTCATTTATTTGATCCAAAATACAGCAAAAACAGTAATATTGTGATTTTTTTTTATTAAAACGTAATTTGTTCCTGTGATTTCAAAGCTGAATTTTCATTACTCCAGTCTTCAGTGTCACATGATCCTTCA